ATTACCGTCATGACCATTTATAGAGTCTCGTACTATACTGGACAACATTTTGTAAATTGAATTGCCTACTACCGCTGGTGGAAATCCCCTATACATTCTTGAGGAGATTCGCTTCTCATGAGGTCGTGAGAAGATTGGACTTGTGCGTGTTACTTGCACATAATACACTTTATGCAAACAGGTTGGTTGGTATGCCATCGCGTATGTCGCAAAAGTGGACAATCCTAAGATCGTGATCTAGCATCGGATAAGGGGTGTTTCCCTCTGAAAATTATATACGTACGCGTAATAAAAATTCGTATGTCACGGCGTTGGACGTTGAATCGAAGGCTATTTGAGAAAATTGAGAAAATACTCAATATTTATTACAAGAAAATATTTTGTAACCTCAACAGCGCCTCATATGAAGATCCGATGATTTCAAGTGAAGTGAAAATGAAAATTATGTTGAACCACTGCGAAAATGAACTCTGTATTTAAATTTAAAATAACATGATTACACAGGCCCACAATATTGATTTCGATCTGAGATTTGATTGTATAAAGTCTAGGCCTCCTAATTTTAAATCTGATAAACATTTGAAAGTTCTTTTATTATCGACATTGAAAGAATTAATAAATGTAAATCTCGGTTGATTTAAACATTGTTTTTATTAGTACAAGAAATAAGGAAGTCTCAAAAAATAGTTAAGTCTTTAAGATGTCTCACTCTTCATTTAGTAGATTTTCTTATCCGATTGTACCTGTTTAATGATCAACAAACTTCGATTTGCACGTTTAATAATTGCTGCTCTGACAAGGAACTGACAATGTTACATAAGGTATCTGAATTTTTCCGCAATCTGAAACAAAAAAATTACATACATAATGAAATATTTATTAAGTATAAATAATGGATACCTAACTAATACCTTTACTAATAGTTACCTATATCTAAATTAAATTAGTAACCCTAATTATTTATACTTACATTGAAACGAACTTCACAAACGTGAATGTTTGTGGTCTGCGTAGAATAATCCACTACACCTCTTCAGCATGCTTTCAGCGATTTTTTTCGTCTTTTTTATCTTCCCGTAATTAAATGGAAATGTTATCTGGATTTTAAACAGTAATTGAACATTAATCACTAAAAAATCGAAACTAATGCTGCCAATTTGGTAAGGAATCAATGAGAAAGGCGTGAAGTGGCTGTTATATTATACAAATAGAGAAAATAGTTGAATCCCACGTACTTTTTCTTTTACCCCTGTAACTGAGACTGATGTATTGCGGATAATTAAGACTATTAAGACTAAGGGAGTAGGTTGCGATGGTAATAATATTTCCACAATCAATTTATGTATTCCCCATATTTTGCCTCATATCACGCATGTTACTATGCTTAAAATATTCAACTTTCTCGGATAAGTGGAAAAAGGCACTCGTCATACCGTTACCAAAAATTGCAAATAAACAACCTTAGATAATATTCGCCATATCAGTATTTTACCAACTTTTTAAAAAATCTTGGAAAAGGTTATATGTGAGCAGATGCAGTTTCACTAACATAATAACAAGATTATCCCCGTTACTCAATCAGGATATAAAGCTGGACATAGTTGTACTACAGCTCTACTACATATTAGCGATGATATATTTATTGCTACAGATGAAGGCAAGCTGACACTACTAACCCTTTTCGACTATTCGAAAGCGTTTGATACCCTTAATCATGAAATTTTTATTTCAATGTTAAATTTTATTAGTTTGTCAGAAGACGCAATTAAACTTTTAGCTTTATACCTACAACACCAATCTCAAGCGGTAACATATAATGATGTAACTTCTTCATTCTTAAATGTTAATAAAGGTATACCTCAGGGATCTATTTTAGGACCGCCTTTCTTTATTGTATATGGCTCTGGTCTCCGGTTTTGTCTCAACTAAGTTGCGGGGATGCAGTGTTTAAACTATTTTGATAAACGCCGAATTCAAAAGCTTCAAAACTCATGTCTCAGGTTGATTTTTGGGATCCGAAAGTTCGACAGAATTAGTCACACACTTCAAAGAGTTAATTGGCTAAATATGAAAAATAGAAAATTTCTTCATTCTACCGTTCTATATTCAAAAATACTAAGTAGAAAGTCTCGTCCGTACTTTTTTAATAAAATAAGCTATCGCTGTGACGTACATAATCTTAGTATAGGATTTAAGGAAACGCTTACTCCGTCAATGCATGCAACTGAAATTTGTAAACGCTCCTTTTCATATAATATTGTTTCATGTTTAAATAATTTGCAAAATAAAAACAAAAATTTAAGCAACCTAAAACGCTACAAAACTGAGCAAATTAAGGAAATTTCTAGGTATGGTATGTTCATAGATATAAGAATGTGCCCAGGTCTTTCCTTAATTCAGTTAGTCACTTTCTTATATCTAAGAACAGACTTTACCTTAGGATTTGAATACATCTCTGAAGGCAGTGAATTGCGGTGTGCCTCAGGGAAGTTTACTCGGTCAAGTTTAATTACTTCGGTTGTAGCCATGTATTTTTTCTAATTTTGCCGTTATATTTAATTCAATAACTGAAGATTGGCTTGGAATTTTATTAAAATTTTTAAAAAAGGCGAATTCGAGATACTAATTATGCTCCCTGGCGGTCAGAATAATTTCTCTTAGCCGTTCTACTAAAGACTTTTTTTGGAATTTCTGGGACCGCCTGTTGCCCTAACACGAGGCCCTTACCGGGGCACCATACGGTTGGCAACCCTGTTATCGATGGACGAAGAGTCGAATGTCGGGGAGTGGCAACCAGGAAAAAACCACCGTATCGGTCGTGCAAGAAAGGCTCCAGTTAATAAATACAACATAAATATAACATTAAAGGAACCACGTAGAGCAACATACCAACTTTCGCGAAAAAAAAAAATAAACGGTTATCGATAAACAATTTATTCGGTTTTTGCGACGAACAGAATACGAGAACGCAGAAGTCGGTGGTTTTAATCTCTCTCGCGGAGGCATCTCGGTTGCGTCGTCGCCGGCACTAAATTCTTAGGATCGGACTAGTTTTTTTAGCTGCCGCGAAACCGGCCAATATAAAAGTGAGAATTCCTGCTTCGGCGCCACAACAAACCTGCTTGTTTATTGCACTCGGTTTTATGCTACGCCGCACAGCGAATCTGTCTGGAATTTTAGGATGACGAAAATGAATTTTTCGTTTCTTAATAAAATATTCAAAATACTGTAAATAACAATCAACGAAACAGGCACACAATGTTTTGCCGAGTGCTTGAAATAAGCAACCAGTATAACAACACAAATTTAACCGTGTTCTTTTCATATTATAGGTTTTTTTTTTTTAATTACGCTTTATTTGGCCACTGCTGCTAAGGCAATTCGGCCAGCTTCTCGGTAGTGGTGTGCAATAAACTATTTCCATGAAGGATGCCTCCGTAAAGACGGTCTGGGTGATACCATCATCCTACTGGACGGCTATACAGGCAAAAAAAAATGGACGAAAGAATTGGAATATGTGAAAACAAAATTCAAAGTTTTAATCCACATGCATCTAAAAAGCGGCAAACAATTCTAGCAGCAAAATCCAACTGAGTGCGGTGAAATAAAATGGAATTAGCACTAATGAGTGACTCATACAACTGTTGTGATTTTTCCCAATGAAGAGCACAATCAAACAGCACATGACTTAAATCGCCCAGTTCTCCACATTCACAGTCTCCGGAGAGTTTGACTTTGATTCTATTTAGGCGAGCCGGAGAACAGCAATGGTTGCTTGTGATTTCTCTTCTATTCAGGTCGAGCTTATGAAACCAGGGTTTAGTTGGCGGAGTAGAATAATGTGAGGTGAAATTAACTCCTTTTCCTAATCCTATATGTTTCCATCTGTCGCTCCAAGCATTCCAGATGTTATGCTTTAATTTAGGGAAGAATTCCCTAAAGCTCAATGTTATATTTTCCTGCGGTTCGAGGCGTGCAGCATTGGCGATCTGGTCCGCAATATCGTTTTCTTTTATACTGGTATGGCTTGGTATCCAGCATAATTGGATGTCCTTATTTTGCGTTTTTATTAAGGTAAATAGTTTATTCTTAACCTGCAAGGTTAGGTAGTTAGACTTTGCATCCATCCCAGTTTTATTGATATCTTCGAGGGCACTTTTGGAGTCTGAAAGGATGACTGCTTTGTTGATGTCCTTGAATTCAATCCAATCAAGAGCTTGACCAATAGCATAAATCTCGGCAGAGCAAATGGATAGTTCACTTGGTAGGCCTTGTCCCATTTTAAGGTTCGTATTGTAGTTATAAACGCCAAAACCTACTCGGTCTTCTTTATCTTTTGAGGCGTCTGTAAAAATTAAATGAAAATCTGGGGTCCAAGTCTCGCTCTTCTTAATTTCAAATAATTTGGAGTTATTATTATCTTTCTTGAGTTTTAAGTCTTGGATTTGAACAGAGCTTAAAAGGTTCGGCAGTGGACAAGAGAAACAGGGATAAACTGGGCTCCTGTAAAGTGTATCTAACAGTGAATCAACTCTTTCAAAAGCATCCACAAGGGCAGGAATACTCTTTTTCCGAAAAAAGTAATAGTTTTCATTATAGGTGATATATAACCATCTAACCGCAGCTAAGGTTTCACTGTCCACTAAACTGGCAGCTTTCAATAATGATTTAGTCGCTAGCATGTATCTTCTGTGTTCTAAATCCATTTCACTTGCTTCCCCTAGAAGTATGTTAGTAGGTGTGGACTTCATATATCCCAGAGCTATTCTTAGTGCCTCAAATTGAATTTTGTTAAGTTGAGCAATAGACTTTCTTGAGCTACCACCCAAAAAAGAGGCTCCATAATCCAAATGGGGTCTCACATAAGCTTTGTAAAAAATTAGAAGGGTAGAGGGATGTGCCCCCCACCAGATTCTACTTATAAATCGCATCATCAACCCACCTGAAGCTTTCTGTATCATATTTCTAATTTGTGGCTCCCATGACAGTTTTGGATCAAAAGTCACTCCTAGATATGTGATGGAATTTCTCCATGCAATGGTTCGAGTGTTGAGGTGAAGTCTGGGGAGATAATTAACCTTGTAATTCTTCCTGGAAAAAAATATAGCTGCAGATTTATTGGGGTTAATCTCAAGTCCTACATTCAAAGACCAAATATGTATATTTTGCAAAGTTCTATTCAAATTGTTCACTATTGTTTGGGCATCAGTCCCAGTACTCAGCAAGGCGGTATCGTCCGCAAACTGTAAAAGTCTTATGTTCTCAGGAATTGTTTCTTTAATTGAATTGATGTAAATATTAAATAGTAATGGAGAAAGAGGGGAACCTTGGGGAACTCCCTTGCTGGTGGTTCTGCCTGACACGAATGTATTAGTAGATGGATCTTTAAGTTGTATCTTCCTGTTCGTGAGGAAATCTTTAATGATCAAAGTCAAATCTCTGGCGATTCCAATTTTGGCCAACACCGAGGTCAATAAGTCAACATTTATATTATCGTAGGCATTCGATATGTCCAAAGTCACCATTGCTGCTAGTTGATTGCGAGCCAAACGGCAGACCACCTCTGAGGAGATAACTGCAAGATTGTCGAAAGTTCCCTTACCCTTTCTGAAACCAGTTTGGCGAACGTCTATTAAACCTTGGTTCTCTACGAACCATTCCAGTCGGTTTTTGATCATAATTTCAAAAGTTTTGCTTATGCAAGAAGCTAGGTTGATGGGCCTGTAGGACGATAACGCTGAGGGGTCTCTCCCCGGTTTAGGAATTGCGATCACCATTTGGGTTTTCCACGTCTCTGGAATGGTGGTTTCCCTCCGAAGTATTTTGTTGAAAAATTTGATAAGAAAGACTGCTCCTTCAACAGGGAGATGGCTGAGCACACTGAAAGGTACTTTATCCACACCGGGACTCTTGCTCTTCCGACCTTTAACAGCCGCGACTGAGATATGGAAGTCTTCTGCATATTCTGATGAGAAGCGACATTCAGGGATGTTACGCAACATAGAGGGAGGTTGCGTCAAAAGATCAAACATATCTTGTGGGATTGAGAAATTCAAGGGAAAATGATAATTTTGGTACCTGATACCTTTAGCAAACCTTCTAATACTGCTCCAAACTTCTTTTGCACTAGTATTTGGAGATAGATTCTCACAAAAGTTGACAAAGCCTTCCTTTTTCGTCTTACGTAGCAAGTGTCTTGTTGGTGCCCGGGTTCTTAATGATTCCAGGAAGTTGGTCTCAGAGGGGTTGTTTTTATAATCTCTGAATGCTTGTCTTTTCCTTTTAATAGCGTTGGTGCACTCATTATCCTACCAAGGTAACCCGTAGTTTAATGAGTGTTTATGCATTGGAACAGATTCTGCAATAGATAGGAAAATTATGTTCATAAAATCCTCATAATTTATAGGAGGTGAAGTTCTAAATTTCGTGGAGATTAAATCGGAAAATTTCTCCCAATCTGCCTTGTTGAAATTATATTTGCTAGTGTAGTTTCTTGTCGAACCTGAGTTGCAACGGTTATTTCCGATGATACACAAAATAGGAAAATGATCGCTATTCACTCTATCCTGGAGAACCCTGCAGTCAGTAAGTCCAGACAGTCTCTGGGAGCAAAAAGCTACATCTGGAGCGCTGTGTTAAGAACCTATTAGTTTTCGTTGCTATATGTGAAACCCCGCTATGTGTGAACACGCCAGAGTCACGTGACTATCATGCATCAATCACGGTCCAAGTGCGTGCCAGACCGTTTGTGCAGCCGAAGGGATGCCGCCCAGCGCGCCAGTACCGAACTGACCACCACACAGGAAAGTGCGTTTGACGGTACGAGAGCAAGATACAGTCCACACACGAAGGTGTATAGAGGTTCTATACACGCTGTGTACGCCTGGGCGTGTGAGCCGAGTAGCTGATCCATCATTTAATACCCACAAATCGTGATCCTTAATGAAATCATAAAGAATGTTCCCACTTCTAATTCCCCGTGAGTAACTGACCTGGGAACCCCATATTGGATTATGGGCATTAAAGTCTCCCATAAAGAGGACTGGTTTATTACGGGTTAGATCGAAAATTAAATCGAGGCTTGCCCTGACCAAACAAATATCTGGAGGGTTGTAAACACAACAAATAAAAAAATCGACAAGTTCTGCAAGAATAACCTGACACCTCTCTGGTATATTAATTCTGCTTAAGTCGATGATATTATATTTTATTTTGTTTTTCAAGAAAATTGCTATACCATCTGCACCATTAGGTTTATCAGCTCTTACAGAAGAGAACCCTGATATTTTAAAGTTAGTGTTGGGTTTGAGCAAGGTTTCATTGAGCAATAAGATAGGTAGTTTAAAATCCCTTATAACTCTAATGATAGCATCTTTATTTTTTTCAGCCCCACAAATGTTCCAATGAACGATATTCATTATAGCTCAACTATAAAACGCTTGTGACTAAAACTTAAACTTAGTTTTGTTACGTAAAAACTACTGTTAGATTAAAACTAGTGATAAGATTACCTTTTCTTTTTCTAACCCCTGTAGGTCAACCGCTGCCATCGCAGCCGCCCCCCCTCCGTAGGTCAAATGAACCAAAATATTGTTTGATATTGTTGACACAATTTTCATCCATACCCTTTATTGACATAACGTCTTTTTTGAAAGCTTCAAACTTGTTGCATACTTCTTCCCAGCCATTTCCTACAGGAGTTACTTCCATTTCCGACTCTGATGTCGAGTTTTCACCTACTTGTATAGATGAGACTTTTCTTCTTGCACTTGAGGGTAACAAAGTTAGTTCATGGGCTACTTTATCATACCCTTTGATAAATTGGGTGTCAGGCCGTTTTCTTTTGAGTACTGATGTATATAAGGAACAGCCCTGAGGACTTGTTGGATGAGGAGTTTTATTCTGAGTTTTTTTATTTAAACTAGGAAAATCTTCTGGTTTTCGGGTAAAGCCTTGGTTTGCATTAATTAGCCGTGGATGCAGTTTAGCTGCTTCATAAAAAGAAAGGTTGTAGAAGCTCATGGTTTCGTTAATTTGTTTTTGCCATTTGTATTCGGGACATCCCCAGTCAGTAGCAGTGTGGAGTCCCTTGCAATTTACGTAGCTTGGTTTTGGATTTACTTCACAATTTGGAATTTTACACGTTTTAGTCAGATTGTTAAGATGATCTGCAGGGCATTTCATTTTTTTCATTGCTTGCTCTTTTTTTTCACAAACAAACATAAGATGATCTTCTGTACAAAAACCGCAACGAGGCTTGCCTCTACAATTATTTTTGACATGTCCAAATCTGCAACAATTGACGCACATTATAACCGGGTTAACGTATTTTTCCACTTCTCTTTCATTATTAAAAATATTTACAGTTTGGGGTAATGATTTGCCTTCAATTGTTACAATATAATCGTTTGTGGGGATGGTTTTCATTACTGTTTCGCCAGAAATAGCAAGTATTTTCTTCCTTCTTAAGACTCTTATTACATTTAATATCTTAATCGACCTGGCCCGGGATCCTTCTCCTATATAAGCTACCGCTTCTGAGTAAAAATCCTCTTCCGTAATTTGGTCCCCTACATCCTTGATTAGTCCTCTACAAGTGACAAGACGTTGTGGAATGTACCTATTATAGCCTCTAGCAGAACTGAAATTTTCATTTGACAAAAACTGATTAGCATACTCTGATGTTCTGAATTCAATTCCAATTTTATTAGCCCCTTTTCTATTGATTTTTGTTATACCTTGTACTCCAGCTCTGTGCAAAATTTTTCCAATTTTCATCGGGTGAATGTTTCCAACTTGAGAAGTTATTCCCTCCATTATGATAAGAAATGGTCCCTGGTCTGTAAGTTCATATTTATACTTTCGGTTAAGTGTTCTCCTTATGTTGACTGAAATTCTTGCAATTTCGTTTAGGGCATCCTGATCTTCCACGAAGACAGATTTAAGCTTTTGTAACTCTGTCCCCAATAAATCTATTTCTTCCCTAGTGGGTACTAAGAAGTATTGATGCTGAGCGATAGCATGTGCTGTTTTCTTAGCTAAAGGCGAAAGCGTCAAGGCTGATGAATAACCACTGCTAGAGGAGGTAGAAGCTTGGGACAAGTTTAGTTGAGCTTGAAAGGAATCAAAATCATTTGCGAACACTATCGGATTATTAACTACGATACGATCGTTTCTATCAGGGGGGTCTTTACCCCCCGAAGCACATGCCATGATATGAAAAGCGCTAAATTATTGCGAACTGCGACACCAAACCAAAGCAAATATTAACGGCTGACTAAATATAAAACTCACCCGGACCGAAAAATTCAGTTGAAGACTAGAATTACGTCAAAAAAATGAAAATTTTCTCGGACCGAGGTAAAATTGTGCACACCACTTCACCTGGTTGACCGAAAAAAAAGGGATATTATAGGTTACGTTTTTGTTTACTTAGTAGTTGTTCGGCTATCAGGAATGCAAAGTATTTACTTTTATAATAAATTTGTTGTGGAATTATTATATAAAAATGACTGAAACCAGTAAATCTAGTCAGGGGTGGAGCCAGGAATATGAGAAAAACGTTATATATATTTTGCAAGCTATAAAGAGTTGTGAAAATATTGATAAAAACAGACGGTTTGATCATATTAAAGTAAATACAAACTGGAAAATTTAGCGGGAATAACAAAGGTATGTAGAATTAAAGATAATAAAATCGTGATTACCAGAATTGATGCATGGAATGTTATCGGAAATTTACATACCGCTTGTGGACACAAAGGAGAAAAAAAAACTTACGAAAAACTTGTAGAACATTATGCCAATAAACCAATGGTTATGATAAACAATCTAGCGTGCGTTTCCCAAGGATCCGAGCCACGGGTTTGGGAGCAATCGGATGTTTTCGGAGATATTTCCCACGCCTAGAATTTTGACGTTTGTCAATTCTGACGGTCATGGCAGTGACTATATTCGTGTTGTTTTGTGAAAATTTACCCAAAAACTAACGGTCGTAGAAAAAGTATAGTATGCAACACGTTCGGTAAACTTTTTAAGTCATTCGTTTATTAAATACTCGCTCCGCTCGTGCCAAATAAACTCGTAAGTCAAATGCCTTTGTACAAAATTTGTGGATTCCTCCTGCGTCGGTTTTTGCTGAGTCGAACTTGCTGACGTTTAGCCAATCATCCTGTTGGCTTATTCAGAGCGTGACTGAATCTGAAAACTGAAAAATTCGACTCAGCAAAAACCGACCCAGGAGGAATCCAGAACCTTTGTAAAAAGTATTACAGTAGCCTGTGGAAGTTTCTTTGAAAAGAGTCAAATGCCGTTTACCGCATTTGTTGTATTATATGCTATTTCGTCTCAGATGACCGAAAGATTACCTAGAGATAATTGGAAAATCTTGTTTGGGAGACATTACTAAAACGTAACATTACATGGCTACAACCGAAGTAATTAAACTTGACCGAGTAAACTTCCCTGAGGTACACCGCAATTCACTGCCTTCAGAGATGTATTCAAATCCTAAGGTAAAGTCTGTTCATAGATATAAGAAAGTGACTAATTGACACGAATTAAGGAAATACCCGGGCAAGCTGTAAGAATGAAATATGGCCGAACAGGTCCGTATTTTGCTTAAAATTTAATTATTTGGGGTTTTGTTAGGAAAGATACTATACAATATTTATTTATTTATGTACAAATAAACAAATCTAAAATAAAATTACAAAATATTTTTATTACCTACTTAAATTACTTAAAACTATTCACATAATATATCAGTATCACTATCGCTATCATCGCCTGTACTAATTATTATTTGTTCTATATTATTTGCAATATGGATATACGATTGTTCTGCTTTTTCTATATGTTTAACAGAATTTGCCCAACTTTGTGGAGGGATGTTAAAAACTTCGGTTTCTGTAAGTTTGAGGACATTGGAGTTAACACGGGGAAAAACATTGTTGTTGGTGCCAAACATGTTCAATGGGATTAAATATACAGTGGCAAGGTGGAAGTCTTAAAACTATATGCCCTAGATTTTTTGCATAATTATCACAGACGTATTCCTTTTGTAAAACCTCAATTAATTGCTTTTTGGTGTAATCTTCGTGAAAATAAATGTCGTTATTAGTTTTGGATTGTTGCTTTTGTGTCACATGAGGAAGAGGTTTTAGTCAACTGTCTAC